TCTCCTGGTTCATGCTGGACGTGATCACAGTCCACCTTTCCCGCTGCCTGAAGGAGAGAGGGAATCAATGATTGAATGCAGTCTGGGTCAGGTTTCCATTCTCAAATGTTTTACCCCTCAAGGAGACTAACAATGGTGTAGAGACCTGGGTACTAGCTCTTTCCCAGTGTCTATTGTACTAAATAATACTCAATAACTTTAAAAATAGTTGCATCATTAATAATAAAAGGAGAAAAATTATAACCTTTTTCTAATTTAACCTGATTTCTGATTTTCTGTCTGACATTTCACCAGAGTGATCACTCAAGATAACTGTCTATTGCTCATTCAGTCTGTAATTGATGTATAGGACATGCACAGATTTTTTTTTTTTTTTTTAATTAAAAAAAAGATTTCATTATGTTGCAGGGAAATCAAAAGCATTATCATAGATACCAGCAACAAACATATTAACTAAATATGTCAGTCAGATCCATGACACTGGATGCTGGAATCACTTCCCCTTGCAACACTTCCTCCCTCATCTCTCCCCTTCCTCCCACACCAGCTTGCAGTGCAGATTCTCGACGGAATTAAATACGCCCATCATAAGAAGCCATCCCTCTGCCTCTGGCTGCAAGCTCCCATCACCTGTCTTGGACCAGAACAAACGGTCATAGTCTTGCGTGTTCACTCAGATGATCCCACCCATCTGGCTGAAACATTAGCTTACAGAAGAGTAAAAAAAGATAAATATTCAGGTTTTGATTCATCCGGCAACATGGCTTTACAACTGCTGTTGCTGGCACAAGTGAAGCAGAAGCAAGAGACGACTGAAAAAGGAAGGACAGATCTACTCCTGTCATTGATTTAAACCACCTGCGTAGCAAGCCCATGGCATTAACCAATGCAGAGTTTTTTCCAAAGCTCAGAGAATATTCTACCTCTCCCCATGAGTCAGTCTCCCCACAGCACATAATTTGAGACACGTGGACATTCACTGAGCGTTTTCAGAAACAGAAGCACAGCAATTCTTTCTAATTCCTGGCCTTGTATTTGTTAGCTGAGGAATTCTACCTTAGTTTCTATTTTCTATATCTATTTTAATGATTACATAATACAGTATTATTTCACAAACATGAAAGATCTAATTCAATGTATAACTGAGAGAAACAACAATGAAATAAAAAAAAATAATTATATTAACAACTATTTTAAAAAATTTAGATGTATTTACACTAATTCTCTGATATTTGGAAACAGTAAACTGAAATGATGACTGATGTAATTAAACAAAACATATCTTACTTTAGGCAGATAGATATTTAAATCCAGACTCCTCCTGTTGAGCTTTCAATTGAAAAGTCAAAGGTGTTCACAAATTACAAAACACAGTTCATATATCCATTTTAAACAAATCTGTTACTACCATAGCAAATAAGCAACAGGAATCTGCAAAAACCACGTTGGAGGTGATTCTCCTTCAAAGTCTTACACAACCCTATGTCTCTGAGTGTCAGAAAATTGGATAAGGTTAAAGCCTTTGAAGCGCATCAACATGTGAATATAAAAGCTCATGCTTTGGTTGCACTGCCACTACATGAAACAGATTCATTCAGACACAGAAGACGTGCACTGAAGATCAGTAAGGTACAATCACAGACAAAACCTTACCAAAAAATAACACACTGAGCTGTACTCACTACTAGAACAGACAAGTGGTGAACACTAATACGGAAATATCAAGGAAAAGTCTCTTTTTTTGAAAAGTACATTTCAGGAGATGCCTAAGATAGGTGCAATATAAAACAGTTTCCTCAGACTTTCACCTCGTCACCTTTATGGCAATTTCTCCTCTTATGTCCTTCTCCTTCAGAGAGAAAACTCCTTACTTGAGAGGCTCTGGCTCACATCCGTAATGTTGAATCACTTGAGCTACTGAACGCTCATTATTGAAATTAGTGCAAATTAAGCATGTGATAATGGCATCAATTCAGGATAGCATCACTCTTTATGACAGTACACAAGCACACGCTTTTCTGAATTCTTGTCTAATTACAGTACTGATTAAGAAATGGTTTAAGCATGCGCTTAAGCAGTTATGGTCAGAATAATATGACTCCAAATACTGTGATCCCAGCTATCAGTAAACAAACTCTCATCTTGGTAGGTTTGAAAAATTGTTTCAGCATCTAAGTCCAAGTAATTACAGTCTCTGCTTCTTGCCATTTTTTTGAGCGTCACTTAGATTTCTTGGAATCAAATGTTTAAATGCAGGTTAGAAAGAAAACACGTAGGACTAAAATAACGCATTTATTACATGCCATGTTACAGTTCACTGTGTTCCCATTTCTATTTGCACTCACGGCACTATGGGAAACTAAAATTATTTCATCAGAAACAAATGAAGTACACAGAAAAGTTTGTCAACAGGCAGAAGCAAGTGTATCCATAAGCCAAACAGCCATAACATTCAATAGCTTTAATACTCCATTACATTGTTTCATAGAAATTAGAGATGAAAGACTTCTTATCCATCCCTTGCCAATTCAGGATGTTTTCTGTTCTCCAATTCAGTCACTGGAGGCTGATTGGCAACTGACAACCACATGAATAGAAAAAGCTAACTAGATGTGCCAGAGGAGAGCAGGCTGTGAAATTTGTATTTCCCCTTGTGAAGTGCCAAGTTCTTTCAAGTTCCTTTTGTTTAAAGGTGAATTAATGAAAATCAGGAGCTCACAAAATCTGGGCCTTGTATTGTATAGTGAGCAGACTGCTTTTCAAGTACACATCCAACATACTGCTGCTGAAGCCACCTTTATCCCTCCTACAGAGGAATGTGTTTAGTGTGCTGTCAAAAAGCATCAAACTGCACTATGGAATTAAAACTGACACATTTCCATTGTACCGAACGTTTTCTGAAAATGAGACTCTAAAGAAACAATACGTTATAGTAGATCAGTGTTGTTAATGATGCTTCACTTCTATGCTCAGACAAACAGTCGGAAGAAGTTGGTGCTCAGAAAGGTCACGCAACAAATAATGTCAGCCAACCTCAACAGCAGGCTTTCAGATTCTCTCAACCACTTTCATATTTCATCAGCTAAACACTGAAAAAAATTTTGCATTAAAATGGGATCTTTTCTGTCACACTTTCTTCCAGAATCACTGCACATAGTTTTGCATTGTCTATTAAACTTTGGGGCTGAACACTGCAGTAACATTTCATCTGAAACATGTATTGCATATCATGTCTTATTATGTCTGGTACCAACTAGACTATAAAAATACATTAATCTTTTCTGAGAAATTCAGAGGAGGGAGCACATTCAACAGAAATATTGGGGAGGAGGGGCCCTTCATGTATCATTTTCTATTATTAGCCATTAATCATGTCTTTATCTCCAGTACTGAACATCCTTACCTACAGCCAAATGCTAATCCCATTAATCCTCTTTAAAGATCTGTAAGGTCTTCTGTGTAATTCTGACTTTTACTTAATGCATATCTTAATTTTACAGCGATTTTTGCAAGCTCACTTGAGACCAGTTTCTTTTTGAGAAAGGAGGAAAACCTGCACTTTTCCATAATGAAGACAATGGGTGTAAAAATAGAAATGAGATACTAAATGCTGCCAGCCAGCAACAGTCGACACAGGGAAGTCAGTCCAGAAAGGCTACCACCGAGGAATTGCTGCCGAGGTGAACAGAAGCTCTGACCACAGAAAGGCTGGAGAATTGGTCCCATGATTTGGGGGGAATACACCCCATCTTGGAGAAGGATCTGCAATGCATAAGGATTATTTTTACCTCCCCCTCCACTCTCCCAGTAACCGGGCTTTTCGCTTAGAAACAAACAAATATCAGGGAGGTAATTACACAGCAATCCATACCACAGGTTCAGTAAGATCGTACCATTTGGCTTTGGCTCAGTGAGTAGCATACACAGTAACAAACAGAATCTCCAAAATCATACTGTATGCAAAGTGGAGCAGGTCACACGCTACATTCTCAGGGCTGGAGATTCAACAGAGTGTCTCTGGCTACAATGGCTATAGCACTGTTTCAGGTTTTCCAAACGCTGACAATACAAATTCTACCAAATGACTTCTTCTCTGGCCCCAAGTACGAATCAGACAAAGAAGAGGGGAACGGGAAGGATGTGAAGAGCATTATGCTTAATGACCAGAATCTCAGTTAGCCAACATCAGACTGGTTTCCATGAAATGAGCAAGCAAAAGCAGCTGGGTAGGAGGTTTGGAAAATTGTAGCCCTCTTGGAGAACTTTGGGGAATTCACAACGGTGAAGTAATGGTAGATGGAGCACAGACATAAATGTAATCTAAGGTTGAAAGCCAAAAGCCTGTACCAATGGTCAGGGAAAGACAAGCTCAGAATTACCCTTAGGGGTTTTGTGATATATCCATTTCTCACTGCTCTAATCTCTGCATTCTGTATAAATCTGAATGTGATTAATTATGACTTAATCACTCTTCTTAACATACTGCAGAGAACAAATGGCTGGTTGAAAAATAGAAATCTTCTATTTCAACTTTTTTAAATCAGGGATTAATAAAATCATCACCTAATGGATGAAATGGATGAGAATAACTAATCCCATTTTATTAAGGCTTTCTTTGTAAAGGTGTAAGAGATGCTACAAAATTCATCTGCATTATCATTTAGGATTAAAATTGAAAGCTTATGTAGAATTGTCCAGTTAAATAACATAGCTTCTTGACTCTGCATTTTGTTAGGGCTGGACAAAAATATGCTCGTGTTCAGGCAAGTTAAATCTTAGGGATATTTATTTTCAAATTTTCTCTTCAAAATACCAGTATCAGTTCTATAGTTGATCACAAGAGGGAGACTGCATCACCATATTTCCTCTCATTGTTTCAAATTTTTAAAGCATCCAAATTTGAATCATTTTGGACCAGCTCTGATCTTTGACTGCTCACTGAAAAGTGTTAATGACTGTTCAATTAGCATTTCTTTCTGAGTTTGTCAAACCTCTGAAACTTAGAGATAGAGATATCCAATCCAGTAAACAAGATTAAACAATGCAAAGGCAGTTGGAAAGAAGATTCGAGAATAGGAGTCAATTTTTGCAATACGGATGTGTATTCTTCCTTCTCTCCAAGATCCTGTGCGGCAGTCTTCAAAACAACAAAAGAAGCTAGCACAGTCTTTCCCTTCTAGGCACTCATATCCATAATCATCATCACGTTCAGGGAGATGATTAATGTTATTAATTGGAATTAGAGTTGATCCAGGTCGAACAGCAATTGCAGGTGGTTTCTTAAGAAAAACAAAAAAGAAAAATAGAGTTTTGCGGGTTATTTTTATCCTCACATTAAATAATTCCATAGGCTTTCCACAGCCAAGGCCAATATAAGCACCTTCAGTACAATATACAAAAATTCTAATATTAAAGAAAACAGTTTGGGGAGCTTTGTGAATTATGAACTGCTGTATATAATTAGTTCACGCAGGCAAAAGATCATGAATGATTTTCACCTGCCACAGTGAAAACTGGGTTGTGCTGAGATTTGGGAATAGTGGATAATTAGTTACACAGACAGGGTTAGCTGATCCCATCTACACAACACAAAAGAACATTTTGAAGTCAGTCACAGCTTGACGACTGGGTCACAAGCAAGTCCACAGGCAGGTTATAATCATCACTACCAAGGGAATGATGGTTCTCCCATCATTTAAAGTCTTTAGAACGAGACTGAATGTGTTTCTGGAAGCTACGTTTTCACAAAAAAAAAAAAAAACCCTAATAGGATTAGTACAGCATCACTGGTGAAGTTTGAGAGACTGAGACACATAAGCCCAGGCTATGTCATCTAACCCTCTGATGTTAGATCCCTAAACAATATGCCCTGCCTTTAGACACCAAGACATAAGACTCCTTAGGAGAATGCCATTGCAGGCAGTGAAACTGATTAATTCAGCTCTTAATTCTTACATTTACTTTCCATGGACATAACTCAACCCTCTTGCAATCTGGTGAAAACTCAGTGTAATAGATGTTAAAACTCAGAAATAATTTTCATAGAAAAAATCTGGGTGCCGTATTGCCTAGTACATGCACTGTTTGATATTCCCTTTCTTGTGACTTTTGCCTTTTCACCTTCTTTTTACTTGCACGACCACAGCCCATCTTTCTCCCTTTTCTTCCACCTTCACTCTTCATACTTGTTTTCCTGAATATTTCAAAAGACATTTTGTCTATCTGCCCTTTTTTTCTTTTTCTAAATCTCATAGCCTTTTTAAACTAATCCATAATCCTCTTTCTTTCAAACCCCCATTTCCCCCTCTCCCCCCCCCACCTTTGGCATCTTTTCTAAAATCTTCAGACTCAAGATAGGGGTTACATCAACACTACTCTTACATTTTCTTCTCTCTTTTCTATCTTCTCCATATTTTGTCAAGTAAGGAATAAATACAGCAGGAAAGGATGCAGTGAGAAGAACTAACTGGGTATTGAAGTGTACAGTAGAATCTCTCTTAAACAATTAGACATGACAGGCGATGAAAAGATATGAAAAAAATACAAGAAGCAGGAAGCCAGATGACTTATATTCTTGTTATGTTTTAGAGTCCTGTTGTCCCCCTTCCAGAGAATTACTTTGGCCAGTACACAGATCTCTATACATTGTTAAGGAGGCACTATTGCTGCAGGGACATTTTACCTGATGTCCTAAGGGGTGATGTGAACGCAGTGCAGTATCCACCACGTTTTCAAATGGCTTTATTTAATAAGTGTCTTTACCAGGGGAAGTTTCACACAGACTGCTGTTTCAACACTTTTTAGACATGATGACCCAGGGAGCTAATTATCATCCTAAAGGACCTCATTATTCTTTTCAGTTATGATAAAATACTGACAATGCTCACAAACAGCAGTTACACGCTTCTACCATAACGTGAGGCATTGCGAACAGGGGTTATTTTTATAAAGCATCAAAAGTAAGATCAAACTTTTTTTTTTTTGGAACTTACAAAATTATTATTTTGTTGAAGATATATGGTGAAAGATGCTTATTTCTGATTCACGCCTACTCTGGCTGTACAAGAATTTTCTGACTGTTGATTCTGCCAAAGTAAGATTCATGGCACGATTCCTTTCTACTAGTGGGGTAAAACAGGAATCCCCAACTCCAAAACACCGTGGGAGGAGGAGGAAATAACAGTACTGCTTTTCACTGCTCATGTCACCAGCACAGACTGAAGCTGGCTACTGAGTACAGGCCTCTGAGAGAGGCAGAAAGACGGTGCCATCTGATAGGCCTCACTACCTGCAGGGAGTACTTAAAATGTGTGTGAGAAAGAGCCAACGTGAGGGAAAAGGGGAAAAAAGACCAACACCTCACAAGAAAATGACCTCATATCAATTGGCAGAGTCTTAAAAAAAACCAAAAAAACCCATGTATATAGAGTTGTACATGCTGATTGTTCATGTATGCGCCTACTGATACTGTAGATAAAACTCCACATATAGTGAGAAGCATTTATGATACACTCCAATACGACCAAACCCAAATTATTCTGTATTAACACTAATAAATGTATAAAAGAAAGCTCTGTTCTGTGGAGATCACAGCACAGGTGATGTATTCATTTCAGGTGAAATGATGATCAGAACAAGATCCACAACTAATTAAGTTTCATCTTTCCTGCCCAAACTCATTATCGTTATGAATGTGGATTTACATAAGCCAATTCACTCTACCTTTCTTGAATGATGCCAGCACATATTTTGTATGATAAAACTGCTGTAATCACTTGTAAAATCTCACCATTTTTTCACAAGATCATTTATTGTCCCTTATTGGCATCGGTTGCTGGAATAATAAGCTTTTAATGCATTTTGCAATAGAAATAGAAGACCTAGGCAAGGCAAGTTTTCCAAGGAAAAAACATCTGTAAATGAGAACTTTTCAGAAGGAATTAAAACGACTATTTTAATTAAATTGTTATTTTGAGTTACATATCCATAACTACAAGAGGAAAAGAATGAATAGGAGTCTTTGGCAAAGATAAAGGCCTGTGGGGGGTGGAGGATTTGTAATTGTATGACTTCCTATTAATTAATCAGATGGTTCTTGAATTCTTCTATTTGGAATGAGAAATTTTATAGCCTTTTTATAAAACATCACCAAAAAAACTATTTGTCAAATTAGAATCCTTGCATCTAAGTATATTAAATTTAACACACACACCCTTTTTTTTTTTTTAAAGTAATCTCTTATCTAGTATGGTCTTATACCATAACGTGCTGAAACATGTTTAAAGAAGTCTATGTGAGAATATGGTTGTTTTTCAACTACCTAGAAATAAAAAGTATACTTTAAGAACACAGTAAAACACAACTGAACAGTGTTTCAAGTATTATATTGCTAATTTTAATCTTAGTCCAAACTCCAGCTGTTTGTTCTGTTAGTGTCACAGTTTCTATCTCACCATTATTCTACATTTTAAATTGTCATATGCGCTGAAAATCTCAAAGCATTTGACAGATTATTGCCCAAATGGCTGATGTGTGAACAGATTCTGGAAAGTCTCATTACTCCATTTGATAGAGTATACTTGCAAACCACTTCGACGACTTTTGATCTGCCAGCAGCTGATCTTTAATATCTCCCTGGTTTGAATAAGCGGTATTTCGTCCCCTCTTCATTTTCTCCTTGTTGCTGAGAGCAGACCTATTTCAGTGGCATTGAGACCTCATTGCAACAACCTAAAATTGAATCTGCTATGCTGGCACTGGTGAGTCCCCCAAATTCTGCAGCCTCTCTTCTCTCTTACCCTCATCACTCAGTTTACCCACATTTGCTTCTACCACTAACAAGAAGGAGGTTTGAGGTTTCCGTTTTCCAGTTCCCTTGGCTGTGCTGGATTCCCTGAGGATCACAGTGATGTCTGACCAACTCACCACTCGCCTTGTCCTAAATACACAGCTGATCCATGGCAATATTAACCCTTCACCACTCACCTTGTCCTAAATACACAGCTGATCCATTCAGACCAGCTCACTGTATGAAATGTAAGGGCTCTCATTTCCCTGGTATTAAGCCGTAGCAGCCCTGCAGTGCCCCCATAAGACAGTCTCCCACAGCAGCCCCGCAAAAAACGGATGCACCAGTGCTTTCCGGCACTAGTCGCAGAATGGATATGGTTTGTAACAGGATTTCTGCATTTCCATATCTGGGCTTCTGTAATTTCATTTCAATTTCTGTTTGATCCTATGCAGGTGGTATTCAGCCTTCACCCAGAAAAGACAACTGATACTATGATTCAACTATGTGCCGGCTTCCTTTTTTTGAAATGATCTGCAAGGGGGCTTTATAAAATTGTCCTCCTTCTTATTCTCTCCAAAAGATGACTACAATCAAGCCTCAAATATTAAGACTAGTGTTTGAATGAATAAGCTATTTAACACCTTTACCTCAATGTTTTATTAGTTTAAAGATTGACTTTAAATATTTGTACTGGCTTCCAACAATAGATCCTTTGTAGTTCCAGTAGTCTTACTACATGAACAGAAAGCCTCTTAAAATTGAATAATACTTGTTCCTGGGATATATGGGGATTCACACCATATAAACATCAACTTGTAAAAGCAGAAGGTTCATTTTACCAGAAAGAAACATGGAAGTTAAAAAAAAAAAAAAAAAAAAAGAGTTAGAGTTGACTTCCTGAAGTGGAAGGGAATCGGAATACTGACCAATAATAAGCACTTATTCCTTTGCAAAGCTAGTGAGGTAAGACCCAAGTTAGGTGATGCAGATGTAAACAAATCCTCATACTTTCAGTCCATTTACATTATCTCTACTGCTACAGTCATATCTATGCTTCTCTGCCGGTGCTGTTTTCAGAAGCACTGTGCCCAGACAGAACTGCCTCCATGGGTACACACTCCACAGACAGCTCTAGGAGCACCAAGGGCTTGGGCATGGCATAGAAGCATGGAATATTATATCAAACCACTCTCTAGCTTAGGCTTATGTGTTCTCATTCACGTATGAGTGGAATGATCTGAAACCTTTGTTCATTGGTAGTATTTACAGAAAATTAATACAAGCCCTCAACTCTAAAAAAAAAGGTAAAATAAATATTAGTGTTAATTATCTTTGAACATAAGCCCTTCTACTTAAGAACCAGTCCCTCAAAGTTAATGCTACAATAAAGAACATTCTGTATTTTTTTTTCTTGTTTGGCTAAACTTACTGATGGCTTAGATTTTGCCTTCTTTTCTTTTCCTTTGTCCCCTTTTCGGTTACTGGTAAAGTAATGCAAGGTGCCATATTCCATCAAGGCAGCAAACACAAAAATGAAGCAAACTGAAACGAAAAGGTCCATTGCTGTCACGTAGGAAACCTTTGGGAGTGACTTCCTAGCAATTGTACTCAGTGTTGTCATGGTCAGCACTGTTGTAATGCCTGTTTGAGAAAGAGAGAAAAAAAGACAGGAGGAGCGAAGTGTATAAGTAACCCAATCACATTGTCACAATGAAAAATCCTCAAATTAGCCCTTAATTTATTCATGAGGCACTCAAGAACTGAGCCACAGCAGGGTTCACCACTGATCACATCCACACACATCAGTGTTATTGCGAGAAGCCACCCCTATGGATCCAGCAGCCACTGTGGGATCATACAGAAGACAGCACATTTCACCTTCAGTTTAATTCTCTCCCATTTTCAAAACACACTGAATAAACACTGACACTGAGAAAGGTTGTGTAATTTTATAAATCTGTTATAGAATGCACTGATAAAACAAATACGATAGACAAACAGGTACAAATGAGCACACAAATTTTATAAACACCCAAAAAGTCCTTTGGTTCTCGAAAGATTAAAACATACAAAAGGACACATTCAGAAAAAAAAGGTGTGTTATTTATCAAGGATTTCAAACTTTTGGAAAACAAGAGAAAAAGGAACAACATTTTCAATTGTTTGTTTCTGACATGTAGCAGATCAAACTAGATGACCTTTATGGCCTTTCTGGTCTCATTCTCTAAATTACTAGGTATTTTTTCAATACTGTGTCTTAAGTAATAGAAAATGTTTCCCTTGATTTACTTACATACAAGTTAATTAAAAGAACAAGCTGGTCTTAACAGTAATGTGTTCAGAATCTCAACTATACCACTCTTCACTGGTTTAACATTTAGGTGTTAACACTTTCTTTTTAGATTTGATGCTTCAGGGAGATGCAAAGCCTTTTTCATAGCAGTCCAAAATTAATATGTGACCTTTCCTTTGGAGAGCAATACTTGAACACAGAAATAATTTGCTATTTACATGCACAGACTTATTGCAAAAACTGTGTTACACCACTGTGAGGCTGTCTACGGCTTTTAAATCAAAGCACGGAATCAGGAGTCACTATGGACTGATCCTGCAGCAGGAAAGCAGTGGTGATTTTGCAACAGATTTCCCAATGAAATTACATGCCTAAAAGGGCAAACAGATAACCACAGAGTTTTTCAAAAGTGCTTCGCTCCCACTAGATGCTTTTGAAAATCAATTAGGCATTTCTCTGCACAGTTAAATACCTAAATACCTTTAACCATCTCAGTCCTTTTGCTTTAGGAAACCACTATCTGCCAGGATCTTCCAACATATAAGGAAGAAAAAGGCCGAAGCCTTTTCAGTGCACCAGAGCCCAGCACAGCCTCCAGGTGGGAAGTCACACCCACCATTCCCCTTATGGACTTCTGTTCAGAGAAGACTAAAGAAGATGTGGACTTTCCCAGTCCCCTCCACTATGAGAAAGGCACACAGAGGGCTGTCACAGGGAGCAAACCTTCCACAGCATCACGACTGCTTGCCACGACGGACCTTGCTTAGTTTTGCCTTTCTTGTCCTGATTTCTCAGTCTTTTTCTATAAAATTATTTCTATTTGACTGGTATTCTCTTTCTTCTTCACCGAAACATCTGCATGTGAGAAAAGTCATCCTACAATCTGTCAAATGATGGCTTCTGCATGTTCACACAAAAGCCGCCCAGAGTTAACTGCAGGGAGCTGAAAACATGATACTGCAAACCTTTGTAGTACATCTCAAGTAGATGAAGGTTAGTACTGCTGAAGTGGGAGCATGAAAACTCTAGCTTAACCGTGAGATCAAAGGTAGATTTGCGAAGTTCATGGCACAGAAAAAGTACTCTGTAAAAAGAAAAAACTGGATACTCAACTAGGAGGATACCAATACAATAGTTTTTCCTGTTATAGCTAGTGTCTTTCCAGATGGTACCCACAATTATGTCCAACAGTCAGTCAAAGAAACCTTATAATAAATTTCTAAATTAAGATTTGAATCTACCAAGAGATAAATTTCACTTTATTCAAGATTTTAGGCTCTCTTCACTAAATGTTGCAACACTTTTAAACAGCATAAAGTGAAGATCCAAGACTCGGATTGTCTTCCCTTACTTTTTCAGTCGGCTGCTAAGCCATGCTAGTTTTTGCTTACTTTACTTCTTGACTCATTAATCTTGCAGGCTTGACTGCACAGTGGCCCAATTTCAGTGAGAAAGGCTGGGAGTTAAAACCTGGACTCACCCTTCTGGTAGGAAAAGCTCCTATAACATGGGAATGCCGTGTTCACGATCCTATAAGCTGATGAGGAAAATTAACTTACACCTCTCACTTCCTAAGATACACTCTCAGCTCTTGATCTTTCCCCCAAAATAGGTCATACTGCTGTCACCAGTTTTACTAAAAGCATCTGTCACTACTAAGCTCAACGTTGCTCGTCCTGGAGTCCTGTGCACTCCACGCACCCGTCTGTCGTGCTTTAAGTGGTATGACTCCTCTCCAAGGCAGCACGTAAATCCTGAACAGTCAAATGAAGGAGACTGACACAGCGCTAAACAGGTGAGCCAAGATGACACAAACACAGAGTTATCTCTGTAGCAGAACTTGCACCATACTTCAGTACTGTTTGTAGTAAAAGCAGGAGAGTGAGTCAGTTTTTGTGAGTTATATGCTTAACGGCTTGAAGCGCAACTTTGGATGCAAATTTTCTGTCCTATTCTGGGCTTAAAAGAACAACTGATCATTTCTATTAAGAAAAAAAAAAAAAAACCAACCAAAAAAACACCCCACCAACGACAAAAACAACAAAGAAAACCCCAAATAAAAACAAAAAAACCCAAACAAACAAAAAAACCCCAGATCTTTGTGGTTTTTGCCTGTGTAGCAATGATATCCTTTGTTCCACTATGCTAAGTGAAGTTTAATCATACTTGTCAGACAAATAATTGCCATATTGCTGTCCCTGGAGATGACAAAAAGAATATAAAGGAGAAAAAAGTGTATTTATATGAACAACAGCAGATCCACAAGGCTTGGATCAGGATTTCCGGATTTCCAGATTTCTATTCTCAATGCTCCCTCCTTGAGCCCTGCTGCGCAACCACAGCATGATCCTCCTACTCCTAATCCTGCAGTTCAAGAGAAAGGGTGACCAATGGTCACAATTTGAAGGGGAACAAACTGTGGTTAATTTACTCCCTGCTGCAGATTTGTATTCCTGGGGAGTACCAGACCCTTCAAGGTTGAAAAAAGACATTCTTACCCAGAGAAGTCCTTGCAGGAACTGCATCCTTATTGATCCAAAATGACACCCATGAAAGAACAACTGTGAGTATACAAGGAATGTATGTCTGAATAGTAAAATACCCCATACGTCTGCTGAGATCAAAGAAGATTGTCATAATAATATAATCACCTATAAATTAAAAAAAAAAAGAAAAAATACTTACACGACATTGAAAATGGTTTTCAGTAGTATCTTCATCTGTTAGTCTTGTTCTACATGATATTACATTAAATAAAACTTAACACTTTGCCTTACCCGACAAGGTATGAGAAATTTCAGTCGTATTTCGTAACCCTACAAATGCAAACTGATACAATCTCCAGTATTTTGGATCTGCCACTTCAACAGAGGTTTTCTTCCATTTGTATTCAATTTCATTTCTGGGATATCCATCTAGAATAAAACAGAGCAAATCAGGCGTTCAGCCACAATGTATATCAAAACATGTTTTGTGATGTTTGAAGTTGTTTATAAACTAAACCAGGGCTATACATGAAGTGGATCAGAGAGAAAGCCAAACTTGAAATTTAACCCCAAAATACCTACCATCAGTTTTAAGCCTGGCTAAATGTATGATTGGCCAAAAAACTATGTAAATATAAATGTTTCGGAAATATCTACACAATATTCTGGAACTCAGATATGAAAAACTGGCTCAGAATTGCCACTATGAATTAATACACAAATGTAATATACATCATCATTAAAAGACCACAAAAAGCTTAAAAGGACTAACACTAATTAGTACATAATTTGATAAAGTTTCTGTTGACATTTATTGAAAATGTCTTTGCCTGTTATTCCCAGGATGGATTCTTGTGGCCTGATTCACTGTCCAGCACTTCACCTTTAAGGAAGTGCAGCCTTCTTGATTTTGATGTGACTCACATGTTGCCCCACATTATCTTGCAGAAAGGCGGAAATGAAATTAAGCAAGACTCGTTTGTGTGACACATCTATTTAATCAATGGAGCTACCAAAGCTCATTTAGCTGGAAGCACTGAAGAAGGAAGTACTAAATGAAAACATTAATTTAAAAAGAATCACTGAAGTTTGATTTCATTGCCTGTTACGTTTCACATTTAGGAATAGGTCGTTTAGCTGTGTTCAGGTGGTTCGGGTTTCTTTTGCCAGTAATAGCACAATTCCCTTAGGAACTTTTTTTTTTTTAAATATAGTTTATATCAATGAAATGAAGCCTGAAAGTTGTGTTTCTTGCTCACATAAATAAGTCCCACTGAAAGGAGAAGGACTTCTTATACTGATTAAGCACTTACAGGAACAGGTTGAAGAAGACAGATCTTACTTTTACTTTTAAGTATATCACATGGAACTAATTCAAAGCTGGCAAGTCTGGCAGGCATAAAAAATAAAGTTGTTCCAGGGCAATAGATTTTCATTAACTGGAATGTGCATTGTATCAGTCTTCTAAGCAATACGATTATTTTTAAAGTTGCAACTAAATGAAATGCATGTAATTCAACTCATTCATCACTGCATTTAATAATGCATTAAAAAATGCAATAAATCTAATCAAAACATAAACACATCAGTTCTTTCCTTCACTGCAAAGCTTTAAGAAGTAAACGCTTGCTCTCTTGCTGATAGAATTTAAGCAAATTTAAAGCCTGAATGTAAAGAAAAAAGTATTTTACCACCTACAGCTTGAAAACTCCAGTGGGCAGGAGTGTTCATCCATAGGAAAGTTATGAAGCTGAAGATAACATTCAGCATTAATTGTCAGCCTGATTAGAAAAGGAAGGGGGGAAAAAAAGAAAAGAAAAAAGGTTATATTCAAGCATCCAGATACTTTAGACTAGATAGTAAAGAACATGCACAGAAATCAATTTTGCCAATTAATGGATATCACGTATAGCCAACTGTTTGTCTGCAAAAAACATCCAGCGTCATCGCCAAAACCCAAAAAATCTCATCATATGCAACCTAAGGACCTGTGTTGTTTCAGCCGTCATTTTGAGCCATTTCAAAAATTTCAGTTGATTCGGGGGGATCTCTCAGATCTCTACCAGAAATAGGGGGTAAAAGGGAGGGACTGAAGGCAGGGCAAGGAACGGAGTTTGTCATAGCAAATAAAGGAAGTTTCTGAAGAACACATTTGTCAAGTCAAATTGCATTTGGCATCCTTGTATCTGGTGGCTATATACACGAGAG